CGAAGCAGACAAGGAATCTGTGACCTCCTCCTCCTGCCCTGATGGACATCGGGGCTCCGCTCTGGCACACGTACAGATCTATTTTCTACAAAGGATGCAGCTTTTCAGAGATGGGAAGGCTCTGGAATGAGAACACTGGCCCTCAGCAACCCACTTCCTCTATTGGAAGGGAGTCTCCCGAACAGTCCTCAAAAGGAAATGCTGGGATGAAATCACCCATGTTTAGTCAAGTAACAGTAGCCTGGTGATGGGCCTGTTTCAGAAGGGACCCAAGGCTCAGCAGTGAGACCCAGAGTTCACTGGGACTTTTCATAATGCAATTTTAGATAAATATTTGCACAGATGCACACATGTATTTATTTGTTCTGCTTCAGTGGGACCCATCCAAGTGCTGGTTTTAGAATATAAACAGTGGGAAACTGCTGTAGTAATGACTAGCAAAAGACAGCAATTATTTGCAAGAGTTGAAAACAGTTCATCTAATAAAAAATGGGAATGCTGTGTGGGAGAAAGAGGAGTGAAATTCTCTAGCAAGTGAGGCCCACTGGAATTTAATAATTCACTCTGGCAATCATATTTGTTTAGTCAGCAGGTCAGAGTTCTTGCTGGGCTGCACAATGCCAGGGATGGTCTTCATGTAAAACACCCAGCATGCTGAGAGAGCAACTGTTTCTAGCCAAGCTGCACAAATACACTCAGGGCAGCTCTTCTGGATATATACAAATTATTACATATCTCTGAGCATGTATGTAAATCCAGAAAGGACTCTGGTTAGTCGGAGATTAATTTGGCTGAGATGGTATCAGTTTATTTGAAAGTGGGTTATGAAGCACTATTTCAGAAGTGGCTTCTATGTCAGCAGAGAGCTATGCTCCAGTTATATACTAAGATAGTCTCCAGGCTATATTTTTAACATCTCCTTAGTAATATAAACAGAGACTAGGACAAGGAAAACTCTCTTTATGACATAATGTTTGGACACTTCAAGAATACTCTCCTCAGCACCATTCATTGAGATTAAATTTCTTTTTCAAAGCTGAAGAGGTGCAGAAGTTGAGAGGATACAGAGTATGCACATATTGCTATTGTACTAAAAATAGATAGGTATAGCTGATGACCAGAATAGTATAATGGGGGCTTTCCTGCTGGCTCAGGGGTAAAGAATCTGCATGCAAGGTGGGTTTGATCCCTCATTACTCAAGGGCTCTCTTATGTTTGACTCATAAACATCATTTAGGTATTATTATTATTTTCCCCCCAAACCTTACTGCTTGTGGGATTTTAGTTCCTAGGCCAGGGATTGAACCTGGGCCCTTGGCAGTGAGAGCCCAGACAACTAACCAACCAGTGGATCACCAGGTAATTCCCTTAAACACCACTTAGTTGGTTAACACATCACCAGGATGAATTCTGTATTAATTATCTTGGTAACCCAGAAACCACAGACCTGGTCAAGGACCCCACCTGGAAGATGGGAAAGCTAGTGTCTGGGTATAATTTGATGGATGGGCTTCCCTTGTGGCTCAGCTGGTAAAGAATCCGCCACAATGTGGGAGACCTGGGTTCCATCTCTGGGTTGGGAAGATCTCCTGGAGAAGGGAAAGGTTATCCACTCCAGTATTCTGGCCCGGAGAATTCCATGGACTATATAGCCCACAGGGTCGCAAAGAGTAGGACAGGACTGAGCGACTTTCACTTTCATAACTTGATGGATAATGGTGGTGGTGGTTTAGTCGCTAAATCATGTCTGACTCTTGTGACCCCTTGGACTGTAGCCTGCCAGGCTCCTCTGTCCATGGGGATTCTCCAGGCCAGAATACTGGAGTGGATAGCCTTTCCCTTCTTCAGGGGATCTTCCGACCCAGGAATTGAATGCAGGTCTCCTGCACTGCAGGCAGATTCTTTACAGACTGAGCTACAAGGGAAGCCCTGATGGATAATTTTTCTTTAATAAAAACCACCCCCCTTTTTAAGGAAAGAGGACTGTTTCCATCTAGGATCCTCACAGTCCTTGCTGAAGAAGGCAGCTGTGATACAGAAAAATACCATCTCCTGTGGCTCCTTCTGCCCAAACAGCCTCTCCCTTCTGCAGCCGGCCTGACCCAGACCTCAGCGTCTCCCTCCGGGACGAAGAGCAGCTCAGGCCACAGGGCCATCCGAGCATCCCGGGTGGAGTGGACACCAAGTCCCGCGGACAATGCGGCCGAGGGCTTCGTGGAACAGAATGTGTAATTCCACTTCACAGCTGCAGAAGCTCATTAACTACGCCGGCAGGAATGATTCTTCCCAACCACAGAAAGAGAAACGGCGGCCTATTTACAGATGCAGCAGGAGCCGGCCTTGTTTTCTAGCTTTCAAGGGAAACAAAACATTTCTGCATAATAACTTCATCCTATAATTCAACGCTATTTAAAAGCGGAGCTTGCCAGGAAGTGCAGAGAGATCTGCACTTGCTCTCCCGTTTCCAGCCCCGCTGAGGCGCTGCTGACGGCAGGGCCCCCAGGCGCCTGGAACCCGCGGAGGCTGGGGAGGCGAGGCGGAGCCCCGCGCCCTCCTGACCCGGGTCACCTCCCCAGACACACGCCACACTCCTTGTCCTCGGCTTCAGGAAAGTAGAGCGCAGGTGACTTTTGCAATCTTCCCAGCTTCAACAGCTGTTCTCTCTTAGGTGGTGGCCAGCACTTTTTAATCTGACGTTAGGGGCCTGCGGCTTCCCGAGTGACCTTCAACAGGTCACCGAGCCCTGCGGTGCCTTCCCCTGTAAGTTTATGACAGCACAGACCTCGTGGGCTGCCTCCAGGATTCAAGTGTGAGTCGGTAAAAGCACCTAGAACAGCGCCTGGCGCAGGGCACACAATAAACAAATGCCAGCCAGCAGGTCATCATTTCTGAGGCTACTTAGGGCAACACACACCATGACTGTTTATTTTACTTGTATGTTACCACCTCCACCTGAGTAAGCATTGCTGGAGGGCACGTATGAGCATCCAGCAGGGGAAGCAGGTTACATGCCGGTGCCCCTTCCCCTCTCCCACGTGTGGGCCCTGCCCAGGCACAAAGGTGGAGATGAGATGCTGCTGTGGCCCCACCCGGCAAACACAAGCAGAGGCTGGTTGCTGCTGCGCTAGGCGCTGGGTTCAGTTCAGGATGCAGGAAGACAGAGCTATAGTCTTTGCCCCATTGGACAGACTTTCTTGTGGATATTCTTCCTCCCAAGAGTAAGTGCGAAGGAGTGCTCTGGGAGGGGTCCCTATTTTTATTTCTCTTCCACGTTCTCAGATGCTCTCTTCTTCAGGACCCCTCACACACAGAATGGCCCCAGGCAGGGCTTAGACTGAAGGTGTATGAAATAAAGGACTCCTTAGTGCAGCCTGGTTCATTATCATTCTGTATGGGGCTTGGAGGGAATGTTCTACCTTGTGACATTATTCTGTTTGCTTTCCTTTTAATTAGCAAGTAGAGTTGACCCCTGAACAATGCAGTGGTTAGGGGCTCCACACAATCAAAAATCCACATGTCAGTTTTGACTTCCCCTGAAACTTCCCCAGTGGATCAGCAGTAGAGAATCTGTTGCCATGGCAGGAGACATGCAGGAGACCCGGGTTCAGTCCCCGGCTCGGGAAGATCCCCTGAAGAAGGAAATGGCAACCCACTCCAGTATTTCTGCCTGGAAAATCCCATGGACAGAGGAGCTTGGCAGGCTACAGTCCATGGGGTCACAAAGAGTCAGACATGACTCAGAGACTAAACAACAACAAAAAACTTAACTACTAATAGCCTTGCTGATAACAAACAATTAACACATATTTTGTATATTACATGTATTATTGTATTCTTACAATAAAGTAAGCTTAGAGAAAAGAAAATGCTATTAAAAATCATAAAAGAAAATATATTTACTGTACTGTATTTATTGATACTGTAAATTTACATTATCTGTTCATAAGGTAGGGCTTCCCTGATATCTCAGTTGGTAAAGAATCCGCCTGCAATGCAGGAGGCCTGGGTTCAATTCCTGGGTTGGGCAGATCCGCTGGAGAAGGGATAGGCTATCCATTCCAGAGCTCTTGGGCTTTCCCGGTGGTTCAGCTGGTAAAGAATGAGCCTGCAGTGAGGGAGACCTGGGTTCAATCCCTGGGTTGGGAAGATCCCCTGGAGAAGGGAAACGCTACCCAGTATTCTAGCCTGGAGAATTCCATGGGCTATATAGTCCATGGGATCAGAAACAGTATAAGATGAATTATTTATCAATACCAACATCAATATTATATGATATGAAACACTGCAGATGTTACATGTATTACTAAATCCAGACATCAAAAATGAAATGCTAATGTGAAAAATATGTGCTCAATCACTTCAGTCGTGTCCAACTCTTTGTGACCCTACGGACTGTAGACCCTCCAAGCTTCTCTGTCCATGGTATTCTCCAGGCAAGAATACTGAAGTATTATTATTTACAGGTATAAAGATTCATGCATTAATAACAATGAAGCAGCAATATGTTTTATGGTAGCCTCATGTAATCAATATGACTGCTTCACAGTAGCTTAGCTTATACACTAATAAATGAAATTTCATTAAAATTTTATGACAAACAGTATTACAGTCATATCCATAATACAATATCAGAAACTTAAAAAAAAAAAACTTACCTGTTATGATAGGCCAATATACAGTTTTTCCTATTATGAGAGAGACATGTATAGTATGTATGCTATAGTATGCATGTATAGTAATGTAATTCTTTGAAAAGAGAATTATAAGGCAGTAAAAAAACTAACATATTATTAATTTTACATTAAGTATCACTCACCTGATGCCTACGTAAGGATGGGTTACCCACTTCAGTACACGATGTGCTACACAATCAGAGATGGTGATGATGACACAAAGGGGTCTATACAATCTTCGCCGTACAGTCCTTAGACTTTCACATGAAGACACTCACATATATTCAACAGGTGAGTCTATCAGCTGCTCAATATGATGATGACTGACTAATCATTAAGTGGAAGTGGATCATCATAGAGGTCTTCGTCCTCACTGTCCTCACAAGTAGTGGGCTGAGGATGAAGAGGAGGTTCTTGTTGTCTCAGGGGTGGAGGCGGAAGTAGAAGGGCAGGCACACTCAGCAGAACTTTACATAAATACATCATAATTTCTGTCTGTTTTGCTTCCCACATTTCTCCAAAAATCTTTTTAAGCAGTGCCAATCTTTTTTCCATTGTTTGCTTAGGTTTCAGTGCCCACATCACAGAAGGGCCCCTGTTGTAAAATAAGTGAAACACATCACGTTCATACTCAGTTGTGTCTGACTCTTTGCGACCCCATGGACTGTAGCCCTCCAGTCTCCTCTGTCCATGGGTTTCTCCAGGCAAGAATCCTGGAGTGGGTTGCCATTTCCTCCTCCAGGGGATCTTTCTGACCCAGGGATCAAACCTATATCTCCCGTGTCTCTGCATGGCAGGTAAGATTTTTTATCCCCTGAGCCATTGGGGAAGCCCTAAGAGAAGTGAAAGAATCTTAAATAATCAGAACCCTTCTGCCAGGTCTTCTGATGTCAGTTTGTTTTCTGGTGTTGCTTCTTGCTCATCATCTGGCACTGGTTGGAAGCACTTGTCTCCATCAGATTATGTTCTGTTAATTCCTACGGTGTGGTGTCTGTTAGCTCTTGAATTCCTCCAAGGTGCATATCTTGATACCCTTCACACACACCTCCCCCACCCCTGACCTTTTCCTCCATATCCACAAAGCTCCTTTATGATTTCCTTGATTGGCTCTGTCGTAAATCCTGTGAAGTCATGCGCAACATCTGGACAGTTATCTCCAGTAGGAATGTATTGTTTTGGGCTTAATGGCTTTCATGGATTTTTCTATAATAAGGATGGCATCTTCAGTGGTGTGATCCTTTCAGACTCTTCCGATATTCCATTGGGATTCGACTGCACAGTGTTGACAATTCTTTCCATTGAGTATCATGTGCAATGATCTTTAAAGGCCTTTATGACCTCTTGATCTAGAGGCTGAATTAGAGTTGTATTTTGGGAGTAAGTAGATTATTTTGGCACCTTCAGTGTTGAACTCATGGGGTTCTGGGCGGCCAGAGGCATTGCCCAATATCAAAAGAACGTAAAAGGCAGCCTCTTACTGGCAAGGTGCTTCCTGACTTCACAGACAAAGCATCAATGGAACCAGTGCAGAAAGTGTTCTATTCCAGGACTTGTGTCCAACCAAAAGACTAGCAACTGGTGTTTATCTTTTCCTTTTAAGACTTAGAGGTTAGCAACTTTATAGACGAGGGCAGTTCTGACCATAAACCTGAGTGGATTTGCACAGAACATTAGAGCTAGGCTATCTTGTCCTGCCTTAAATTCTGGTGCTCACTTTTCTTCCTTACCAACCCATGTTCTTTATGACACTTCTTTTTTCCAGAATAGGGCACTTCTGTCTGCATCAAAAACCTCTTCAGGTAGATATCCTTTCCCCTCAATGACTTAATGTGTCTGGGAGCTTATCCTCTGCCTCTTGGTCAGCAGAAGCTGCTTTTCCTGTTCCCGGGACATTTTTAAAGCCAAACTTCTCTCTGAAGTTATCAAACCATCTTTTGCTGGCATTAAATTCTCCAGCTTTAGCTCCTTCACCTTCCTTCAGCTCTAAGTTGTCATATAATGACTTTGCACTTTTTGAATCATATTAGAGTCTACAGGTATGCCTTTCTTATAAAGCAATCTTACATCACATAAAAGTTGCATTTTCAACACATGATAATTTTCACCCCCCCTCAAAAAATATGCAAGGTTTTTGCACCTCCTGGTATAGCTGCAGTGACAGTTTCATGATTTCCTTTTCTTTTCTTACACTGGTCCCTACTCTGGATTCATTTCTCTTGAAATGGTGGCAACCGCAGCTGTAGACCTCAATCTGTGGTACATATAAAGCATTTCAACTATTTTCTTGTAATGTCATAGTTTCCTCTGTGTACTGGGGGCACTTCCAGCATTACTAGGGCACTTCATGTGGGTCCCACAGTCTTATTCAAGATTTACTCTGTTGCACGAACATGATGCAAAATACAGGAGAAATGTGAGAGATTACTTTTTATTTCAATACACAGTTTACGGAAGAGATGAACTGTTCCATGATCAGTGTCTCATGGCACTTTAAGCAGAAACTTCCCACACTTGAGTTTATAGCAGTAGCAGTGGGACATGGCCCCTAAATTAATTTTATGCCATTATGATTTAATACTGCCTCTGTACATTTACATCTACATGTGCACATATGGCACCAAGTTCATCTGCAAGGTCTGTGTACATTCGCTTTGATAAATTTTAACTCTTTATAATAAATGTGTTCACATTTTATCATAGTAAATTATAAAATAGACAAGTATCTATATATATTTTAGGCATACATAATGTGTCTTAATTTTTATTGATATTTTCAGGCTATTATGTTCATCTGTGAGCTTTTTCAGATTTTTGCATACCTCCAAAATTTTTTCTAGTACATTTGGGGAAAATAAGCATGTAAGTAAACCTATGCAGCTCAAACCCCTGTTGTTCAAGGGCCAACTGTATTTCCTATGAGACTTAGCAGGGACAGGTGGCTGGTCTCAGGATTTGGATAATCCTGCATTTTGGTCCACATGACATTTCATCCCACCCTTATAAGCAATCATAGGGAGCAAATATTTTTCAAGTTTTTATCCTTCAGCCCCTAACATTCAGTATTCTTTACACTAGCAGGCATTCAATATTTACTGAAATGAGTTTTTCCTCTTAAAAAAAAAAAGTTACTCACATTCTGATAGAATCCACCACTATGATTTAAATCCTATCACCTAAGTAAACTAAAAATTCAAAGAACATTTAATGATAACAAGAACTAATCCAGCGTTTACCCGTGAAACCCAAACTTGTCACTCTGACCTAATGATGGCCCTGCACAGCCCACCCCTTGCTTACCTCTCTGACTCTGTCCTGAACCACAACATTTCATCATTTACGCCTGGTCCAACTTCTGCTCATTTGCACTTGCTATACATTCTGCCTGGAAAGCTTTCCCACCTAGAATTTTACATGATGGGCTGCTCCTCTGGATTTCCATCTCAGGACGGAGGAGTCCACAGCATGAAGAAAAGGGAGTAGTAAGATGTCCCCAGAAGAAACGCCACTAAGCATGATACCTAATGTTGAGTGTGAGTGTGTATAGGTGCATGGGCCTTGTGTATTTGGGGGCAGATGTGGCTAAACTAGGAACATCCTATCTATGTAGCCGGAAGCCCTAAGGCTTTTGAAGGCTCTGTGGGGAAAGGGATGAAGCAAGGTTGTCTCAAGAACCAAAAGTCAGTGTGGCTGAAGCTTAGAGAGCTGGGGGACAGCAGAAGAGAGGGCACAAGCTAAGCTATGAGGCTCCCTTTAGAAAAGGCTCCAAAAGGAGGGTGTGCGCGGCACTGATGCGCTATAGCCCTTCAGTAATAGCTTAACCTCAGACATCGATCCTTCTTCATGAGAAGACAATCCTTCTGCCCTGATTTGTATTCCTCGAGGCCCCTTAAACTCAACAGAATCAGCGGTGCTAGGTGTGAGTCACCTCGAGAACTTTTACATTTTCTTTAGCAAGAGTGAGCTACCATGTCCCCAGATTCAAGGAACAGGACGGCTCACCAGCCCCTGGAACTGGTACTCCAACACTAAGCATGGCATAACTTCTTCCAGCACTGCTCCTGGTGCTACCCCAGCAGGGAGACTAGTGAACTCTCCAAGTCAGCTTTAATTAGCTATCAGTACATCTCACTCATTCAATAGGAATTAAACTTGTACCGAAATATCAATAGTTTTATACAAAAAGGATCAATTATATTTCAGAGAAGCAACAGTTAGGACTGGACATGGAACAACAGACTGGTTCCAAATCGGGAAAGGAGTACATCAAGGCTGTATATTGTCACCCTGCTTATTTAACTTAAATGTGGAATACATCAGGCGGAATGCTGGACTGGATGAAGCACAAGCTGGAATCAAGATTTCTGGGAGAAATATCAGTAACCTCAGATAAGCAGATGACACCAACCTTATGGCAGAAAGTGAAGAAGAACTAAGGAGCCTCTTGATGAAAGTGAAAGAGGAGAGTGAAACAGTTGGCTTAAAGCTCAACATTCAGAAAATTAAGACCATGGGATCTGGTCCCATCACTTCATGGCAAATAGATGGGGAAACAAGGGAAACAGTAACAGACTTTATTTTTTTGGGCTCTAAAATCACTACAGATGGTGACTGCAGCCATGAAATTAAAAGACACTTGATCCTTGGAAGAAAAGCTATGGTCAACCTAGACAGCATATTACAAAGCAGAGTCATTACTTTACCAACAAAGTCTAGCCAAAGCCATGATTTTTCCAGTAATCATGTATGGATGTGAGAGTTGGACTATAAAAAAAGCTGAGTGCCAAAGAATTGATGCTTTTGAACTGTGGTGTTGGAGGAGACTCTTGAGACTCCCTTGGACAGCAAGGAGATCAAACCAGTCAATTCTAAAGGAAATCAGTCCTGAATATTCATTGGAAGGACTGATGCTGAAGCTGAAACTCCAATACTCTGGTCACTGGATGTGAAGAACTGACTCACTGGAAAAGACCCTGATGCTGGGAAAGGTTGGGAGGAGAAGGGGATGACAGAGAATGAGATGGTTGGATGGCATCACTGACTTGATGGACATGAGTTTGAGTAAGCTCTGGGAGTTTGTGATGGAAAGGGAAGCCTGGCGTGCTGCAGTCCATGGGGTCACAAAGAGTTGGACATGACTGGATGACTGAACTGAGCTGAAATTGTGTTTTGACAAATTGAATTATGGTATTAAAACAACCTTAGATTTTTAGAATTTCTAATAACTCATGATGATTTATTTTTAATTACTCAGATTTAGAAGCAAGTTACAAGAAATCAATAACATCAGCACAGAGACTAAAGAGCAGAAAGATTAGAGGATTAACTCAAGGTATAGCTGAACATTATTCTGAAAAGTGTGCAAATTTCCTAATTTGTTATTCAATATCTGATGGTCAGAAGTTCTTTTAAGTAAAATACTTCCTAGGGTAAAAGAGTAGACAGAATTGGAAAAAAGACAAACTATATATCTGATACAGCCAAGAAGACCCCTGAGAATACATGAAAAGAGTAAGTTTCAAAATTAAATTTTCCATATGGGCATTCCATAGTTGAAAGATTATCATCTCAAAGATAATTTTAATCTAACATGATCATTAATCAATAAAGAATTTAACAAAATCACTTCCTTAATATGCACTTTATTTTGTACAAAACATGAATACTCAACGTTGAATATCTGAATCCTGCAAGTAATTCTCTGACTCACTTCAGCATACTTATGCTCAGCACAAATCTTCATTTAAAGAAACAGAGAAATAATGTTTCTATTTATTAACATCACACATCCTGCA